ACCTAAATGGACAAGATGTAACTGCCCAGAATTCCTAGAGGGACTGATAATCATTAAAAAACTACTCTAAGTGTGTGTGTGTGGGGGGGGGGGGGGGGGGGGGATGGGAGGAGAATCAAGTTAACTTCTACAATGTCCCTTACTGGAAAAATTGCTCATAATTCCATACCTAATTATGCTAATTAGTGATTAATTTAAAGTAACCTAACCTTATCTGGCTAGTTTCTCCACATGTTTCTCACTTTCCTTCTGATGGACATGTGTGCAAAGATGAGTAAATCAATACCTGGTCTGGTGTCTCCTATGGAGATAAAAGAGGTACCCTGCGACATCGCCCATTATTATAATGGTAAGATTCTGGTGCTTAACAGGTCTGACTGCAGACTGTAAAACCATGAACCAAACTTAAACACAAGTAAATGTGTGTTATCCTTATTTCCAGCACTGTAATTAAAGTACTCACTGAAGCCAAGAAGCACTTGGCAGTAATAAAACCTCCCTGTCCTTCTGAGACATTTATAACAATTCTTGCATTAAGTATTTAATGTGTGCCTTATACAAATTATAATTTTAATATATCTTCATTGCATTGATGGTATTATTATTATATTGATAGCAATTACTTATCTAGGAAAATATTTAATATGTCTTCCACTCATAGGCTAAGAGCTCTATGTTCTAACATAAACAGCAAGGAACTTACTCATTACCAGTGCCCAATACATACTGCTTCATAAATAACTGCTGTTTAAATGGACAACTACAAAACTATAGGGCTTCCTTTTAAAGTTGAGTTTGTCTTCCCTGGCTTTTGAATCTTAAATGATCTTAAGTAACTGAGATTACTTAAGATACTACTGCAGATTATTCCTATATTCTTATTTATAGGAATAATCTATAGCTACTGCAGATTATTCCTATATTCTTATTTTATCTCCACAGCAATTCCATGATTGTGCCACAGTTATACTGGGGCTGAGAGAAGATTATCATCAAGAACTTAGGTCTTGTGGCTCTCCAGGATAGTGTGCCTCCTACTGTAATGTTCACCCTTCTGTGTCCAGAAAGCTTTAAAGCAGCTTCAAAACACTCATATTTAATTCCTATATCACTCTTTTAATCATTGTGAAATGTCCCAACCAAAGAAATTTAATAACAAATAGATATGCAGAAAACACTATGCAAGAAAAATATCACTTCTACTGTATACTCAAATGGAAAAGCTTCAAAATATCTCCCGCTAATTCTAAAAGAAACAAACACAGAAAGAGAACATACAGCCCTAGCTCCACTGCCTGATACATTTCTCTTGACACAAAGCCAGGTCTCTTCCAGCCACTACATCCTGCTTCTTTTTACACTCAAAGGCCCAAGTCAGTAGGCTCACTCTTCCCTGAATCATCTCACACTCTGAAATACTTCCTGCTCCCTTGAAATAGGATGGGTTGGGCTGTTCTCCGTCTACATTCCTCACAAGGAATGGAATGACAAAAGAAAGGAAAAACAAGATGATCTCTATTTACTGTCTAAAATATATCTTTATATGTTTGAAAGTCCTTTTCTACTATCAATTTATTCTTCAACTACTTTTACGTATCTACTATGTCCCAGTTTCATTATAAACTCCATGAAGACTTTCCTTATGGTATCCTTGATGTTAAATGTTATTTCAGACATTAATTATATAAAAATGAATAAGTCAGACCATAAGGCAACTACCAAAACACAAATTACTAAACATAAAGCAATATGTTACATAAACAAGTGTTATCGTAGTAAACAGAGTTAGAAAAGTTGGGAAAGGTTTTACAAAGAGTTGAGCCTTAAAGATGAATGGGATTCAGTTAGGCTGAAGAAACAATATGTGCAGGCTAGGGATGCAGCTCAACCTTACATGCACAAGGCCCTGGGTTCAATCCTCAGCACCACCAAAAAAAGTGCAAGAACATAGAGGCACAGTAAAGCACTGTTGTGACAGAAAAGGTGGGTTTTGTCAGAACAAGAGGTACACTAATGGGAAATAAGACTGAAAAATGCATCTGGAGCCAGACTATGAAGGTCTGTTAACACCCTGCTAAAGAAACTATCCTTTATCATGGAGGCAATTCAGGGTGTCATGCTATTTTAAAGCAGGATCATTACACAATCAAATTTAGACAGACATGAAGACTGTCAGGAAAACTAGTCAGAATGTCACTCTACCAACCAATGTGAGAGTTGGCAAAGCCTAAGAGCAACAGAAATTAAGCTGAGGACAGATGAATATCAATAAGGGTTTTTTTAACAAGATGAAGAGAACATTAAGAAAAATGATTCATTAACCATATTAAAGAGTAAAAGGAGAAACAGGTTTATGTTTTGTATTTTCCTGTAGTGAAGGGAGATCTAAAGCTCCAGTTTCGCAAATAATTTTTTGTTTTATTTTAAAGTATCTGTGGGCTGGGTGCAGTGGCACAAGCCTATAATCCCAGTGGCTTGGGAGGCTGAGGCAGGAGAATGGCAAGTTCAAAGTCAGCCTCAAGCAACTTATTAGCAAGACCCTAAGGAACTCAGCCCTGTCTCTAAATTAAATACAAAAAAAGCGCTGGGATACTGCTCAGAGGTTAAGTGCCCCTGGGTTCAATCCCTGGTACCAAAAAAAAAAAAAAAAAAAAAAAAGTATCTGTAGAATACAGGTTAAGCTCCAAAAGATACTTTGACTGAGACTGGTCCTCAAAAGCATGTGAACAGTCAATGAAGATAAAAGACTTGTTATGTTATGATAGCTAATTTTCCAGGAGTTAGGTAACTTCACAGCCAGAAGAGCAAAGACAGAATTCATATTCAGTTCCCAAATAAAAAATCAGCCTAGAGAGGAGAGAAATGATAAGCAGAAAAAAAAAGATAATGAAACAAAGTTGAAATTAGAATTTGAAGTCTAACAGTTTGGTGTACTTACAAATCAGCAACATATCAAATCATCAGTACTCCAGTGACCACAGTTCAGTGCTATATATCCATCCAATACAGCACAAGAAAAAGGAAAAACAGTCAAGTAGCTAATCACAACACCAATGACAATTACATAAGTGAGACAGTAAAGGGCATACCACAAACTCCAAGTTTGCACAAAAGAAATGGGCAACCTAATAAGAAAAAAAAAAAAAAAAAAAAAATCAGCTAGAACCCAGAAATAATTGGGTTTAAAAGTTTACTGCATAGACCTCACAAACATACACACACACCCTCCAGATCAGGCTTTTGCTCCAGAAAAATCACACACTATGGCACAGATTCACATACTTCATCATCTAGTTACTCAAAGGGAGTCAAGAGACCAAAGTTAAGTTCATAAAGCAGACAGGATAGACAGAATCAAATTTGGAATACCAATTAAATAATTAATTATTGCCAGGCCAGTGGCACACGCCTGTAATGCCAGCAGCTCAGAAAGCTAAGGCAGGAGAATCCCAAGTTCAAAGGCAGACTCAGCAAAAGTGAGGTGCTAAGCAACTCAGTGAGATCCTATATCTAATAAATACAAAAAGGACTGGGGATGTGACTCAGTGGTTGCATGTCCCTGAGTTCAATCCCCAGTACCAAAAAACAAGAAAAAAAAATAATTATCCTGGATTCAATTATTCCACCTTATTGTGAACCATGTGCCTCAATTTTAAAATAGGGAAACTGAGTCAGACATGATAGCACACATCAGTAGTTCCGGCTCCTCAAGAGGGTGAAGCGAGAAGATCACTTGAGCCTTGGGCAACATGGCTAGACCCTGTTTCAAAAAAAAAAAAGAAGAAGAAGAAGAAGAAGGGAAACTGGAGACAAAAGGCAAGAGAAGGTGGGGTTATCTGTAATTAGGATAGGAGAATGGGGTGGAGAGAAGCACTAGCAGCAAAAATTTACCAGACATCTCAACTTCAAATCTGCACTGACTCTAACAGCTACAGTAAACACATCGCATGGCATGTTTTAAAACTTTTTGCACTTAAAAGCACTGGTATATGATCATCTTGTAACCCCATCCCACTTTGTAGAAGGGGTAAGCGTCAATAAACTTTGACAAACTTGACCCCGTTCTATCTCCAGTAACCATACAATTCAGGAAATAGACCAAGTTGAATACACTTATTAGTAGGGAGGTTATTGTCATGATCACACAGTTGAGTTTTCATTTTATCTCCCACTTATTTTAGCAGTATCTGGCACTTGCACTCGCAACAGTTGGTGCTATTCTTCCTTCTAGAAGACTTTATCATTCATACCTTGTTAAAATCACTAATTTCATTAGGCCTCAATTTCCCCACCTGTGAAACCAGAATGATGTTCGTGGGTTAGAAAACTAATGTCAGGTGTTTTGTAAATCAGAGTGCAATACCAAAACGGAAAGAGTAACTGTTCTTAAATCTAACATCTAATAGCGACCCCCCTTTTTCCACCTAAAGAAACTGAAAACACCAGGAGGTTAAATGACTAGTTCTTCCTAAGGTCAGGTAAGGAACATATATCTAACCTAAGCTCTTCCATCACCCCTTGTACAGATGACTCAAATCTCAACGAATCCTTCCAAAGCCCAAGGCCTGCCCACATCACCTTAATCTTATTATATCCAGGTAAGGGGGAGGGAAAGAGAAGCAACAGAGTAGCAGAAAATGACTTGCCCAAGGTCAAAACATCAGAGTAGATGAGCCAGCAACCGAGGCCACGTCCCCGTACCTCCTCCACCAGCCCCAGAGAAACGACGAGCTGCCCCTTCCAGGGCCTCAGTGAGCAGCGTGGGGGCGGGGACCTGGCCCCGAGCTCACCGGGCGCCCGGGCCTCCCCCGTGCGCACATCGCCACGCCCGCACCTGCCGGGAGACACTACACTTACCCTCCGCCAACCCCGCCCCGCGCCGCCCTCTGACTTAGGGCCCCACCCCCGAGGCAGGGACCCCCGGGCAAAGCCCCATAGGTTAAGTTTCCACGCGACGGATCCCCGCCTAGAATCCCTGCCGTGTCTATGGTCTCACGCACTATGGCACTCCGGACCCGGGCCCTCGCTAATGCTGCCTCCGGGCCCGCGCCGCTGGCCGCCCAGCCCAGCGTCCCCCGCAGCAAGCTCCTCCTCCGTCCCAGACAGCAAGCTGAGACGGCCGCCGACTTCCTCCGCGAGCTCCGCCCCGTCTCAGCCCAGGGAAGCACCCGCCGCCGGAGCTGACGGACTGCCCCAAGAACCAATAGAGACTCGCAACCGGAGGAACAGGCTGACGGATGGCCCCAGTGACCAATAGAAACTCACGAATGTAAAGGACGCGGCCTCAGCCAGCGAGCCACGCCCTGTCCGTGCTTCCGCTTGCGCGGAGAGGCTAGAGGAAACTTTCCCAGAGTTCCTTCGAGCTGCCTGGGTTCCCGCGGGAGCCACAGCTGTAGCGGCGGGGAGGTAGCCAAGTACCGCTGCTGATTGGGTGAGGAGTGGGCAGAGTACAGGAACACCACCAGTAGGCGTCAGACCTCGGCAGTGGGAGGCCCAGCGCACCGCAGCCCCGCACTCATCCCTACAGCAGACGTGAGCCGGACAGGCTGCGGGAAAAAGAGCTCGGCCGGTGAAAGCAGGTCACGGTCCGGCCTGGCTTCCTCCGGAGCTACCCCTGTCTCGGCAGAGTTCAGGGTCGGGGTCAGGCCGCTCGTGTTTCTCTGTAGCGCTTCACGGCTAGGCGGTAGAGCACCACACCCCACATCCTGACCTTTTCGGCCTGCAATCACTTCCGTGCAAGGGGAAGCTCCAGAACAACAGATGCACCCTCGTACCGAGCTGCTTGGGTTGTTGTTGCCAAGGGCTCCGCCTAGACTACTGCGCGCGTCTGGAACGCCCCAACAGAGTGGCCCACAAGCGTGCTTACCGCCGACTGTCCTGTCCCCTTGAGGAGTCACCACCCTATACTGGAAATCGCGGCTCCTCCCCACATCCAGAACAAGTGGCTTGAGGGTGTTGGGGGCGGCTGCTCTCTCGTTGCCCAATCGGGCCGGGCCTCGGCACCGGCACCTCGTCGCGGAGGAAGGTTACGATCAGAAAGTGGAATCTCTTGTCACTTCTCAGTTTCGCCCAGCCTATGGTAGTGGGGCCCCAGCTGAGGAGGACTGGTGCTCGGGGTCCCTCCCACTCGTCCCGGGCCAACGGTGATGGCCGGGCCCGGGGATCCGCGGCGACTCTGCAGGCTGGTGCAAGAGGGCCAGCTGCTTGCCCTGCAGGCGGAGCTGCAGGAGGCTAGAGGCTACCAAGGACCGGCCGGGGACACCCTCCTCCACTGTGCAGCCCGTCACGGGCGCCTGGACATCCTAGCCTATTTGGCCGAAGCCTGGGGCATGGACATTGAGGCCGCGAACCGAGACTACAAGAGGCCTCTACACGAGGCTGCCTCCATGGGCCACCGGGACTGCGTGCGCTACCTGCTGGCCCGAGGGGCAGCTGTGGATAGCCTGAAGAAAGCCGACTGGTAGGTGGTTGGGATCCAGAAAACCATTTCGCCTTATCACTTACGGCAGAATCAGATTTTCGGGTACTTATTAAGTCTGTCCCCTTGACAAGATAGCTTTTCTCAGCTGCTAGTTCTCATCCTAGAGACCTGCTCAGCAGCAAGGTCATCCTGCCACAACCTTCCTGCCCTCCTGGGGTTAACAGAGGAGGACAATAACTTCCCTTTGTGAGACAGTATGAAATATAATCAAACAGTGAATTGTGTGCAGTGCTCCTAGCTCCAGGTATAAAGTTCTAGCACTTCGTCTAGCTAGATTACTACCCCAGTTACATTGTTTTGACATTATTACAATCATTATAGTCAAACTTCATCAGTTACACTTGTGGTGTGAGTAGAACCTATGTGATGTTACCAAGTCTAGCTTTGCATAACCACCACTGTCAAGGTACACTACCATCACATAAATAAATCCCATTTTGTTTGATTGACATTATTTTTAGTGCTTGCTGCATCAGATTTTTTTCAAATCAAAGAACCTAAGGCTTACAACACGATGAAGTTCCTACCTTCAAGTGATTCCTGATCTGATTTAAATAAATAAAAGAGGGTTAGGGGTGTGGCTCTATGGCAGAGCAGTTTCCTAGCAGGTAGTAGGCACTGATTCCATCCCCAGCACTGCAAAACCACCACTGCTGCCGCAGGAAGAGAGCCATATAGTTAAGTACATCTTCCCCACTGTGGTGAAAAAGAAGACCTAGTTATGTTTGAGGATCATCTATGGCTTTTATTAGCTCTGTTATAATTGATTCTATCCTGGCTCATAAACAGTTTGGCCTCTCAGGTACCTCCCTGCTGTAGGTTTCCATTAATCACCATCTTTTCCCTTTTGTTATTTCTCCCAGGCTTCTCACAGCAGGCAAGTTGCCAGTCAAAACTATTTTCCAGTCCCCTGAATTCTGTAAGAAAGTTTTCCATCTGTGCCAAGGATGTGCCCTTCCCAAAGACCTGGTCCCTTCTGCTAATGTCTCAGCTGCCTTCATTTGACAGCTTATCCTGGTTGGCCTTAGGACTCCTCTGATGATGGCTTGCACAAGGAAGAATCTTGAGGTGATCCAGGACCTTGTAGAACACGGAGCCAATCCACTCCTGAAGAACAAAGATGGTTGGAACAGTTTTCATATTGCCAGTAGAGAAGGTGACCCTCTGATCCTTCAGTATCTGCTCACTGTTTGCCCGGATGCATGGAAGACAGAGAGCAAAATTAGAAGAACTCCTCTGCACACTGCAGGTACAGTCTACAGCTCTGTAGGCATGCAGGCCCACGTGTGCAGTCTGTTTCAGCCAGCACTGCCCAGCATCTTGTGCAAGTCACCCACAGAGGAATGGACGATTTGAGAAAATAGAGGTCAAGGATGTGAACATTATAGTTTTGTTCTGTTTTTCGTTTCTGTTTTGGTACTGGGGATTGAACCCAGAGGCACTTTATAACGGACATATATCCCTCAGCCCACTTTATTTTTATTTATTTGAGGTAAGGTCTCACTAAGTTGCTTAGGAGCCCACTAAGTTACAGAGCGTGGTCTTGAATTTGTGATCCTCCTGCCTCAGCCTCTCAAGTTGTTGGGATTACAGGTATGTGCCACCACTCCCCCAGATGTGGGTAAAGGTTCTAAAGCTAATATAACTTGACTAGCAAGCCCTTCTTGTGTTAATTCACTTTACCTTGTGTATCTATCTTATGCTCCCTAGTTAGTTAGATGGCAAGTAAGGTAAGTAAGCTGGTTCTATTTCTTACAGAGTCTTTGACCTAGGGCAGAGACCTTAGTCTGTCTCTTGGACAAGTTTCGTCATCAGCAAAATAATGATGCTAATTATGTCTATGTATCAGGGTTGTAGGGTTTAAGAGCATGATTATGTAAATCCTTTAGTATAATCCTCTACACATAATGAGCACAGAATAACTAGCTGCTGCTATTTTTTCTTTTTTCATTTCATATTGTTACTAAGACAGGTGGAAAAAAGACTGTCTTCAGATCCTTAGTAACACCATAATGTTAGGAAAAAGCAAAATTACTGTGACATAAAAGGATATTAAGGGACCAGGCACAGTGGCATACACCTCTAATCCCACTGTCTCAAGAGGCTGAGGCAGGATGATCGCAAGTTCAAGATCAGCCTCAGCAACTTAGTGACAACTAAGCAACTTAGCAAGACTCTGTCTTTAAAATAAAGTAAAGGACTCAAGAGTCTAGAACAAGAAATTTGAAAGATAACCTTTAGCTTTCCAGGGAATACATTGAATTAGGATACAGACCTTTTAGTTTCTCTAAAATCAATACCTGTGACATGATAATCAAGTGTTGGTTATATACCTGTAATATGAAAACATTTTTCTTTACTTCATGTTATGGTCTAGATATGAGGTGTCCACTAGAAGCTCATGTGTGAGACCAGAAAGTTCAGAGGTAAAATGATTGGTTACGAGAGCCTTAACCTAATCAGTGCATTAATTCCTTAATGGGGATTAACTGTGTGGTAACTATAGGCAGATAGGTATGGTTGGAGGAGATGGGTCATTGAGTGCATGACTTTGGTGGTTTGTGTTTTGTCCCTGGTGAGTGGAATTCTGCTTCCTGATTATCATGTCCTGAACTGCATTCTGCAATCACTCCCTTCCACTATGATGTTCTACCTTACCTCGGGCACAGAGCAATAGAGTTGGCTATCTGTGGACTGAGGATGGAATCAATACCTACTACCTGCTAGGAAAGTGCTCTACCACAGAGCCAAGTGTGAGCATCAGATAAACTAATCCTCCTCTAAAATAGTTCTTGTCAGGTCTTTTGATCACAGATGTGAAAAAGCTGACTTAAATACTGCTTTTCCAGTTGGTTTTATTTTTCTAGGACAATAACAATCAATTTAGGTGCTCCTTCCTATAAGTCATAATGATAAGAATGGGGGCAGAGGGCTGGGGATATAGCTTAGTTGGTAGAGTGCTTTCCTTTCATGTACAGGGCTCTGGGTTCAATCCCCATAAACACACACACACACACTCTGGGTTCAATCCCCATAAACACACACACACACACACACACAAAAAGAATGGGGCAGAGAGGAGAGCCATAAGGGGAAATTTATTTATTTCTATTTATTTATTTGTTTATTTATTTATTTTGCAGTGCTTGGGATCAAACCCAGGGCCTCATGTATGCTAGGCAAAGGCTCTACCCCTGAGCTACATCCCCAGTCAAGAAGCATTTTATGTATGCACTAAAAAGCTCTAATTCTCAACTCTCTTCTCCCAGCAATGCATGGCTGTTTAGAAGCAGTAAAGGTGCTTCTTGAGAGGTAAGAGCAAACAGTAAATTGGAAGAAAATATTTGTTAGTTCTAACAAGGAGTTAATATTGGTCTTACATAAGAAGTTCAAGCAGATTAAGAAACAAACTAAGCTTGCAAAAAATGAACACAGGACATAGTAGATAACTCTTAGACTGTAAAACCAGAATAGCTATAAAACAGATGAGAGAAAAATCATCTATTTCTCTATTCAACAAATATACATATATTCACTTAGTGCCCAATATAAAGTATGCTCTGTATCAATAGAGGGGCTACAACAGATATAAGGCAGGTACAATTCTGCCTTCATGGAATCAAGAGACTGTCAAGAAGACAGACTGACAATCTCTGTAAGTTTGATTAGCATTGCAAGAAGCTGCAGGATCCCTAAGGGAGCAAATAACAGGAAGGCTCACTTGCCTAGTAGTAGGGATCTCAGCACCCAGAAACACTGAATTTCTCACCTGAAGGAGGAATAGACATTGGCTGCCACTTGGAGGCAAGGAAACATCCAGATGGAGGTATCAGCATCTGTGGATACTCTGAGCCAGGAAAAACTGTAGGACATTTGAGAAACTGATGTGCTGAAGCCTAAACAGTGAAGGGAGCATACTTACTGTGGACCATGTTAGAAAGTTTAGATTTTGTTCAAAGCACAAGAAATAATATGGAAGTGTTTGGAGTCAAGGGATAATAAGATATTAACTATTTTCAAAGATCCTCAATCCTCTGTTTACAAAATGGGGTAAGGGGTGGTAGGAAGGTGCTTTTCAAAGCACTTTCTATTTGGGAGACTGGTGCAGTGAAATGAGAAAGAAATGATAGTAGCTGGACTGGGGAGATGATGAGGGATGAAGAAAAACATCTGGAGATGTCTAAGAAGTAGACTGCATAGGTTTAGGTGAAAAACAAAGGGGATGAAGGAGGACTTGGGGACTTACCTTAGTGCCTACTACCTGCTTGCCTAGCAGGTGCAAGGTCCTGGATCCAATCCCTAGCACCACAATAAATACATGAATGAAGGAGAAGGAGAGGCTTCAAGGATGATTTTCAGGTGTCCATGGGAAGTCTAGATGACTTTCAGGGTAGTGGTACATGTGCCACTTTCTTAGACACTGAACACCAGAGAAGTGGATTTGGGTAAAAGATAATTTCACCTGTAGACATGTTGAGAGTATCCAAGCAAAAACTTCAAGCAGGAGGTAGAGAAACAGAAGGGCAGAGATAGAAATGTGGGACTCCTAGATATAGAAATGATAATTGAGGCCAGAGTGAAAGAGATGACCTGAGGTAGCATATCATTAGAGAAAAGCACTTAAAATGCACTTAACACTGGGCCCTACATTGCCAGAAAGGCGGGGGAGGTGGGGGGTTGCCTAACGGGAACATACTTGGTTATCTACAGATTATAAGTATTTCTTCTTTTATTCATTTAAGAAACATTTTGAAGCATCTTCATGTATTAGGTTCTGAATGATAAACTGTCCTTCCTCTAGTGGAACCTGTAGGCTAATATGGAAGCAAGTATAAATGAATAATCCCACAAATAATTGTCATAGAATTACAAAGTGTAATACTACAAAGGAAAAGTATGGGACACTAGGAGAGAACCCAAGTCTTTGGGTAGATTAGGGGGTGGTAAAGAAAGGCCTCTGGCGAAGTTCCATTCACATGAGACTCGAAGGAAGAGTTTGAGTTGACCAAGGGAGGAGTAGAGCTATAATGTTCCAAGCAGAAGGCCCAGTGGATGCCGAGGCAGGAGAGGGCTCCACAACGTGATGACCAGGAAACAGAAGGGAGCATGGCAAGCCCAGGGTTGGGGGAAGCTGGAGGCATGAGCAGGTGCCACATGCTTCTGGCCCTTGGAGTTCCTGTGAGGTTTGAGATCTTGTCTTTTATGCAGTGGGCACCAGTTGAATGGTTTAAGCAGGAGTGACTTTGTCCATTGCATTGTGGAGGGAGGACCATGGTTACTATGGAGAATGGCATAGCAAGGCAGGTGTCAAGGTGCCAAGAACATTAGGAGGCCCTTGCCAACTGACTTAGTCTTAAGGAGTAAAAGCAGAGACAGAGAGAAGGGTACAGATTTTTAAAAGTAGTCTGACTTCAGAATTAAGAGATGTGGGTAACTGGGTACAAGAGATAAGGAGCCACAAGGATGGTGGTAGTGGAAAGGCAGTAGTAAAGATGCAGGCTTCAAACTAGAGAGGAGATGGTGCCATCGAATAGGTCAGAGAAGGCTAGGACAGGAGCGTGTTTTCTGGGGAAGACCAACATGTGCTCCTGAAGGTCCAGAGCTCAGTTGAGATACTGAGATGGGGAGAAGAATGAGAACACACAGGTCATCACAGGTTGTTGTAAAGCACATAGCATACCTGCAGGTGATCAAATACCAACTGCCCATTATGTTTGAAGTGGTGACTGTTCTCAGCTCTGTCATTTGGGGTTTTGACTCTAGGTGTCAGTATGAACCAGACTGCAAAGACAGCTGTGGTGTCACCCCCTTTATGGATGCAATTCAGTGTGGACACATCGACATAGCCAGACTGCTCCTCAAAAAGCATGAGGTATAAAAATGGGTTTGTTATATTCCTGTGGTTCTTCCTACAAATTTTAGATTATAGGATGAGAATCTGAATCATTATTTAGATTCTGGGTTCATTATTTAGATTCTGCCCAGAGAAACATAGACAACTAAGTAAATAAATACTGCCAGATGTTATCAGGTATATGGACCCAGGTTCCTCTGCTGCTTACCTTTGCTCTTCCCTCCTGTCTCCTAGGCTTGCTTTTTAGCTGAGGATAGCCTGGGGGCTCAGGCTCTGCACAGGGCAGCAGTCACTGGGCAAGACGCAGCCATCCGATTCCTGGTGTCTGATCTTGGTGTTGATGTAGATACAAGAGCAACAACAACCCACCTCACAGCACTTCATTTTGCAGCTAAGGTAGGTTTGTTCTCGTGATGTTGTCTCTGCCTGTGTAGGCTTGCCTTATTCCATTTATTCCATTGGTCCTGGTTTGTTTGGCTCCATCTCTATGAAAGAAATTGCCCATGTTCCTGATTCCCAAATCCTTTATCTCTTTAAATACAACACTGACTTTATGCCTCCCTTCCAACTTTTTTGTTTTCAGGAATAATGTTAATGTGATAAAGATTCATTGTATGCAGTTTATAGCTCCCTAGTCTTACACTGGAATTCAGAAGTTAAGATCTTTAACTAAAGCAAAGTAGTTGTATTTACTGCTCTCTCCAATGTATAAAGCACTGAAGATAAGCAAAATTTCTTCACTAGAAAGGGAGCTGTTCTAAGTGTTCTTGAGTTCTGTGTGTTACATATACATTATTCAGTGGCTGCCTGCCTTGATTTGTTTTTCTAAAAGTAGGATTTTTTTCCCCCCTAATCAACTACACTCTCCTGTGTGGTCACTACCAAAGGAAGAAAGCTAGTTTCCTCCATAGAAAGATAGTAGCTGAATCCTTGATTTTGGTCTCTCCACATACTAACAGACTCATCAGCTAGACAAAGAATGTATAAATTATAAATGGATGGGCATGATAGTACACACCTATAATCCCAGAGACTCTGGAGGATTAGGCAAGAGGATCACAAGTTTGAGGCCAGCCTGAGTGACTTAGGGAGACCCTGACGCAAAGTAAAAAAGGGCTGGAGGGCTGGAAATATAACTCAGAGGTAAAGTACCCCTAGGTTCAATCCCCAGTACAAAAAAAAAAAAAAAAAAAAAATTTATAAATGATAATACTAGCCATAATAGAATTCTCTTTTCTAAGAGGTTACAATCTTTTTAATTTATCTCTACCCTAAAGATTATAGCAAAGCATATATTTGCTTGGGAAATTTTGAAATTGTGAATTCTATATAAATCATAAGATTTATAATTCTTACATTTTCAGAAACCCAACTGTATTAGGTCAATAATTTAGCCTACAAACTTGATCATCTATATCCTAATAATTAAATATTGCCAAGATATTTATTTATTGTTTTATTAATTGAGAGTGATATACTGAGTCTTTCCTTAAGTATGAAAATTTGGTTTTAGGAGTTGACTATTAAAAAGAGCCAAATATGCACTAGAGTTTGTGTGTAAAGGTTTTCTTTTGTTCTCATCACAGTGGTAATGAATTTGTTTCAACACTCAGGAAGGACATATAAGCACGATTCAGACTCTCTTGTTCTTGGGTGCTGACATCAACGCTAAAGATGAAAGAAATCGATCAGGTATTCAATGTAAACAGTCCACCTACTTTTATATTAAAAGCATTAGTTTGGGGTTTGGAGGTGGTGTGGGTATAGCTCAGTGGTAAAACATTGCCTAACATATACAGGCCCTGGGTTTGATCCCCATAACCACATAGGTAATACAAAAAAAAAAAAAAAGACAACACACACACACCCCCACACACTGGTTTTAATATTTTTCTTCCAGTAGCTCAGCAACTTTTCCTCAAAATAAATTTTCCTTTGTTTGCAAAATTATAAACCTATTGCTATTATCATGACAATGATGATGACCACTGCTCATTACCACTGCCCTTTTTACTGTTATTTTAAACCACAGCAATATATGTGCCATCAAAGCACTTTGTATCTAATTCATGAGGACACCTGCTGTTGAGGTGGACAAGAGCAAGGTCTCAGAAATATATTCTCAAAGTTAATTCTCTTTTTTATTTTTGGTGCTGGGAATTGGTTCCTCTGTGTGCTAGGTACTTGCTGAGGTGCATGGTGGGTACCATGAGCTACATCCCCAACCTCACTCAGAGCTTTAAGTTTAAGCTTGGACTTTAGAATTAAACCCTCTAAGTAGTATCCATTGAGCCAAAGGCCATCCTGTAAGGGTTTACTGAGATCTTTATGCTTCAAAGACTTGCAGATGATAGATTCTGGCTCCAGGGCTATGCAGGCTAGCTCCTCAAGATCAGGCACAGAAGCAGTGAAGCTCTTAGACTCTCAGCATATCTAGAAGGGAATATTGGTCAACATGTTTTCTTTTTGTCATGTGGTACTTATTCATGGTGATTTTTACTTAGAAAAAGAATTCAAGAAAACATTGAGAAAAATTTCCATGCCATTGAAACTGCCTTTGAATGGCACACAGGAGTGAGGATGAGGAGGATCAGTATCCTATTTCTCATTAATTTTTTTTCCATTGCTTTAGAAAAGGTTCTTTAAATCCTCTGTAACTGGTTTGTTATCTTTAAAAAAATCTTTTGGCTGGGCACAGTGGCGCACACCTGTAATCCCAGCACCTTGGGAGGTTGAGGCAGGAGGATCAGGAGTTAAAAGCCAGCCTCATCAATTGCGAGGTGCTAAGCAACTCAGTGAGACCCTGTTTCTAAATAAAATTCAAAAAAGGGCTGGGATGTGGCACAGTGGTTGAGTGCCTCTGAGTTCAACCCATGGTACCCTCTGCCTCCAAAAAAAAATCTTTTAACCCAATCAGGTTAAAAAAAAAAAAATACTGCAAGTCCAGTATAGGTGAAGTCATGGGGATGGATGAAAAAGTATAAAATACAAATCATTGAATGAACCAAAATTTTTGTTGGGTACAGCTGACTTATGAGGTCAGCATTGCTGTAGGGGGTCAAGTTCTAAATCCATGTTATTTTATCTCCCCTCAGCCCTGCATCTGGCCTGTGCGGGTCAGCACTTGGTTTGTGCGGAGTTTCTCTTGCAGTCAGGGCTGAAGGATTCTGCCGACATAACGGGAACCCTGGCCCAGCAGCTCATGAAGACAGCAGGTGTCCTTCAGGGCTTTGATTACAGTGAGGTGGCATAAGGATGTTTCTAAAAGGAGACAATAAAGTATGTGATAATTGATGTCCTGCATCTTAAGTCATTAACAGACTCATTGAAAGTGTTCAGTAGCTGATGTTTTCTTCTCTTCCTGCCTTCCCTCGGCATGTTCCTCTCCTGCTGAAGACTTCCTGAATGGCCAGGAGTCTGTGTTCCTGACTCCATATGTTGTGCAATCCCCAGCACAGTTACAACCTTTCCATAGTCCACATTTCTTGTTTTTCTATCCTTAAGGTAGAAGTTGCTAATGTCTATGAAGTCAGTCTCTGAAATGCTTAGAGAAGCATATAACATGCATGAATGTAACATATACACTGTTATGAAGTGTATTATGATAAATACTATATGGTAAGGCAATGATAACATCAATTGCTATTAGCTTGAACCATAAAACATAATTGGCCTATTCAACTTCTTCCTTCATAAACTTTTACTTGGCCATTACAGTGATCTGACTTTGGTTTCTTAGGAAGGAAATGCTTATTATCTGTTTAAACAGACACAAAGAATTAATGAAAACTTATCTATATTCTAAATATTGCTAGTTAGGTTATAAAGTTTTAATCTGTATAACATTTTTTATAACTTTATAACTTTCTGTTTGTTTTAATAGACAAATTCTTGGTCCCCTTCAAGTAATAAATACACCTAGAAAATACAACTAAGATGTTTCCAAAAATTTACATTAACCTGAGTTGAAGAATGAGGTTTTATTCTTAAAACATATAGGTTTTTGTGTCCCCTTTCATAAGCCCAGTGAAGTCTCTGATTGTTGATGAGTGATATGCTCGTATCACTTTAAAAAATATTGTAGCTGATTAGGATGAATCCTCAGGCGTTCAGATTATTTTTCTTTTTGTTTTCTTTTGTTTTCCCCTTTCCTCTTTCTTTTTTGATCATTTTCTCTGAATTGCAAAGAATAATTATCAATCCAAATTAGACTTTTAAAAAATGGTGTGCATCAATTATTTGCAAGATTTAATCCTCTTATTTAGTACAATTCATTTATTATACACCCACCTTATTCTCAGCATTGTGCTTGTCTTGGTAAATAGCAAGAACTTCCAGTTCCTCTTAACTATTCCCAGATGGTATTGGTGAATTCCTATCCCTGACTGTCAAATAAATGTTCTAGTAGAAACACAGTCCTCTAAATCACACACTCTGCTGATGTGCTGATTTGAGATACCAGTGCCAATTTTCCTGTTGCTTCAGAGATATCTTTGTGTCAGTGCCCTTTGATATCTTTGGTCTGAAGATGATCCTAAGTGTGGGTATTCCATATGTGACGTAAGGTCCACAGCCCAGCCGGTGCTGGCCTGTCTTTCCTTCCCTCTAGTGCACACACAGAACAGCATCTTATTTGCAGCTCTCACCTGCACAATCACCTACCATTTGTCCCTTTGCTTCTGCCAATACAAACTGGCCAGTACTAGGAATTGAACTCAGGGGCACTTGACCATTGAATCACATCCCGAGCCCTATTTTTTATTTTATTTAGAGACAGGGTCTCGCTGAGTTGCTTAACACCTCACTTTTGCTGAGGCTGTCTTTGAACTTACGATCCTCCTGCCTCAGCCTCCCAAGCCACTGGACTTACAGACGGGCACCACCACTGGCTCTGGCCAGTGATTTTAACACATTATGTTATACTTTTGTTTCCCAGTAGTTCTAGTTTCTTTATACCTTTTTGACATAAACTTGACTACCACTACTGTAACCACTCAGCAGCTAGAGATGGCATTGATTGTAATAACAATGTTCATTATAGCAAAGAGAGCAGTAATAATAGATGATAATAATGTATTTCTGTAATAATAATATATTAAGGATGCTAATTGCAATAATGATGATAATTAATAGTATTCCTTCACTTCCTAATTATAGTTTCTATATTCATTTCCTTTAAGTCTTTACCTAAAAGTTAACTTAAGGCTTCTTATCTCAAATTTCATTCCTATTTTCAACACTTAATATCGTCTTCCCCTAGTTTTTCTCCTTAGCATCCACCCCTAGCAAATATACCATGTAATTTCAGTTATTTATTTTGTTTTTTGTCTGCCATTGGTATATAAGCACCTTGGATGGGAATTTTTGTCATCTTTGTTAACTATATAACTATGGGGCCTATAAAAATAAAATATTAAGCTAAAATGTTAGTATATTTTAATATATGGTTAATGAAGGATGATAGTAACAATCTGTGTTTATTGAGAGCTTGCTATATATTAGAATCTGTGCTAAGCATCTTACACAAATTGTCTCCCTTCGTTCTCTGGTTCTTGTGCCTGCAGCCTCTTCTAGTTATTAGTGCATCTGAAACATCTGTCTCATACACACTCCTTTGAAGAAGAGTCTACCCTTGGTACCCTGGACTCTCAGATTCCATGCAGCCCCTTGCAGTCTGGCTTCCTTATTGCTACTCTGTGCAAATTATTCCCAGTGAGGACACCAGGGACGTTCTAACTGCCAAACCAAGTAATGAATTTTCAGCCCTTATGTTATGATCCTTTCCAGTAATCAAGTGGAGTTCCAATCATCAGTGCTTTCTGTCTTCTAGATTCTTGCCTTGTGTGACAATTCACTCCGGGATTTTTCTTTCTGGTTCTTCCTTCTCTGTCTCCTTTGTGAGCTCCTCTGTTAGAGCCTGTCCCATAATTGCTGGTATGCTCCAGCTTCTCTTCCCAGCTTTTATCCCCTGTCCTGTTTGCTCCTGAAGCAATCTCATCCATTCTTCTGGTTTCAGCTGCATCCTGATATCAGTAACATCCCAATCTCTCTCCAGCCCTTCTTTTCTACTGCCTGCTGTACAGTTTTACAGGGGGTTGCTAAGGCACCCTTACACTTAATTTCTCAACATCTAATTTTGCCCATAACCCACTTAAATTCACACTGTATTCACTGCCTCCACTGAGGGAACCACAGTTCACCAGGCCATCCAGGTTGGAAACCTGGGGTCCCTCCATGAAAAGTCCCAGTTAGTTCTACTTGTTGGATAGCTCACCAGTCTGTCGAACCCACTCTGCCTGCTATGACTCCCTGCTCAGGCTCTCATATTCTCACCCCAGACCACTATTGCAGCAACCTGTTAATTACTCCTCCTGCTTCTAGTCCCGTCCTTCTCAAATCTGCCCTTCGCATAGCTGCCAGAGAGCTCTTGCCAATTCAGCCAAGGGCCAGTGATTGCCTATAGTGGTTCTTTGTGCCTCTCATCCTGAATAACTTACTGCACTTTCACCAGAGCTCTCGGCCACTCGGCTAAGACCCACTTCCATGAGGGCTGTCGACTCGTTCTCAAAGCACACCTTCCCCATGGTGAGTATGTATAATGAAGCTCAATCAGGGCCAAAATTTCAACAAGAGATACTAATAGTAAGAATTTCAATCACTTGGAAATAGCTAGGACCTAACATATACTTCCTTCAAAAAATTATATGAGAAAATATTTACAAGACAAGATAGAAAAGGGATTACAAAGTGGGCAAGAAATGACAAAACTCAGGCTAAAGAATAATGAGAAGTGCTGAGCACGGTGGTGCAGGCCTGTAATCCCAGTGGCTTAGGAGGCTGAGGCAAGAGGATCAAAGTTCAAAGCCAGCCTCAGCAACTTAGTAAGGCCCTAAGCAATAAAACAAGACCCTGTCTCTAAGTAAAATAAAGGGCTGGGAATGTGGCTTAATGGGTTAAGCACCCCTGAGTTTAATTCCCAGTACCAAAAAGAAAAAAAAAAACAAGAAACTTGAGAATTAAGCAAAGGAACCCAAGAGATGAGAAAGGGTGGAAAAGGCACTAAATGCAGTTCAACCCAGGCCTTGCTGGAATTCACCAGCAGATAGCAGGCCAGAAAAATGTCCTTTGTATTCTCCCAGACTTTTCTTTAAAAGGCTATTGTAAAGTATAGGAAATAGTTAAGGAAAAAAAAATTACCCCACAGTTCCACCAGCTAGTTGTAACCACTCTTATTTCCTCCCAGTTTGTCTAAAAGCCTATGGTTAAGCTGATGCTGTATATGTAGTGTTCCGCCCTAACTTTATATTATAACCAAATCTTTTATGCTCTTAAAAGTTTGTAAACTTTGTTTTTATCAGTATGTAAAGCTCCATCATATCATCTACGTTGATTTTTTTTTTTAAACAAGACTTTATTTTACTTATTTATGTGGTGTTGAGGATCAAACCTAGGGCCTTGCATGTGTGAGGCGAGCACTGTACTACTGAGCTATAACCCCAACCCAACATCGATTTTTTTATGTAGACATTTTAGTTGTTTTGAGGTTCTTTTAAAGATAGGACATAGACAAGATAGTCAGAAAGGTGTTGTCAGATTCGACTGAAAGCAGGAATCAAGGGAGGGGGAAACGGCTGTCGGGTTGCTCGCCAGGCACAGTAGATGGTTGGGAGGCATGCAGGGGCTTGAGCAAGCCTGTAATCTTTTGGATGTGTTGAATGGTGATGAAAGAAATAAGGTAGTTGAAGGACAGAAGATTTTTTTCAGAGGGGCTGAGAGCGTAGTATGTTTATGGTCAGAGGGGAAGACCCAACAGTGAGAAGGAAACAAGCAGCAAGTTGGGCCCTCTGAGCTAGCGAGGTCCCTCAGCAGGTCAGGGAAACAGGGTCAGGAGACCTTGGGATGGCTCATATGCAGAAGTGGAAGTAATATCTCTTATTTAGAGAGATTAGTAAGAAAAGAAAGGCCTGGTGAAGATAATGAGAGAGAAAGGCAAATCACTGAATGTCAGGACTGGGGAAAGGGGATGAAATATGTATATTACATTTCCTATAATAATGAGAACTTTTATTTGATAGTCTTACACTTTTTAAAATTGCTTTCATAAACCAGCAACATGCAGAAGGGATCAAGATTCAATTAGAATGGGTGATATAGTTTATATTGAGAAGAAAATGAGGTAGGAACAAGGCCTAGCCTCTAACATTAGCTGGGAAAGGAAAGATTTGCTTGACACACATGGCTAGACCCATCATTCAGTGTCTACAGAATCCTAACCCCTTAACCATCCCTTAGACAGGTCATAATGAGGTCAGGCCTATGCATTCCTGAGAAAGGAATTATGGAATGATGGCATTTATCAGCCACCTAACTTCTGTGCAATTTCCAGCCTGAACCCATCAAGCTAGGCATCTCTGCTGGCATTTCAGCCTGCACAATGTCTTCTGTAAACTAGATCTCTTCTCCTTCCTCCAGGCTTCCCTTCTAAGGGGCTCAGAACACCTTGGGCGGGGTGCGGGGATGAAGTATTTGAATCAACATTTTAAAAAAATAGCAAAGATAATTCACTTTTACACAGGGTTTTACTGTTTCAGAGATTTTTCACAGGGTGGGAAAGAAGCAGCATAGCTTAGTTATCAGTATGCACTCTGAATTCAAACTCCAGCCAACAGCTAATCATATGGCCTTGGAGGATTTACACCACTGTCTCTAAGCCCCAGCTTCCTCACCTTTAAATGAGAGTGCCTAAATGGGATCATCCATGTTCACTTGGTCATCAAACACTGAACACCCGCTGTGTGCCGGGCATGGAGGCTTCAGCACCAGATAGCCTGGATGAGATCTCGACTCATTGTGGTCAGGGAAAATCCAACCCCTGTCCCAGAGTGATAAAGTGACAACCCAGTCAGGAGCGCAGGTGTCCAGCACGGGCTTCAGCTGTGTGGATCCAGCTTTGCTGGCACAGGCCTGAGGTGCATCAAGCCAGAGCCAGAGGCAAGCCTGGGCGTGCCAACCTATCCCACTCAGGCAGTCCTTCTGGGGTCAGAACCCTGGAGCATCCGTGATCCCACAAGCTCAATCTCCCACTTCCCATGGAGCAGCAGGAAAATGGAAGTGGGGCAGACCTGAATGAATGTTCAGGCTCAAGGGTTAACTAATAACATTGCCAAACCCTGAATAGCATTAAGTTTGGACCAATGGTGTTGACCCATGTGCCAAACTCCTAGATTAGCATACTCAGGCAGCAACTGCTGTAGGGGTCTCCTCTTGCCTGTGCAAAATTTCTGTTTCTATTCTTCACACTTGAATGAATCCTAACTCCTTTCCCTTTCACTGTTGCCTTCCATTGTCTCATGAATTTCATTCTTTAGATTTGCAAGACAAAAACCTGGAAAGAAGTTGGCAGTGAGCTGCTGAATTCTACTGGAGCTGCAGTACTGAGATCTGCAACTCACCACTCAGTGGTAATGGAGAAGAATCAGGCTTTCTGGGCTGCAAAGGCCTGCAGCTTACACAGACTCCACCAGCCAACAGAAGCAGAGAATCAAGTTTCATCACAAACTCCAGTTTTAAGGGGAGACAGCCTGTAGACCTCAGACTGGTGGTTATATACCAGGTGGTGATTAGTGTGAAGAGAATAAAGTAGAGAAGGGGCAGGAAGAGCCAAGGGTTGGTTCTCTGAGCAGAAAACATTGTTAGCTGTGAGAAAACATTCCACACAGAGCCAACAGTGGCTGTGTGTTGGAGAAAAGGGAAGGAAGCCAGCATGGCAGAAATGAGTAAGCAGGGAGCAAGTGGCTGGGGCTGAGGTCAGGGCTGGACTGCAAAGGCCCTTTTGGACTGTTTTCCTCTGGGAAGAGGGAGGAAGCCATTTTGGGGTTTTGAGTAGAGGAATGATTAAATCTGACCTGGGTGGTTTTTTGTTTGTTTATTTATTTATTTTAATAGCAAGATCATTCTGGATGTTGAGCAGAAGCAAAGAGCCTGGTTAGGAAGCCATTGCAATAACCACCAAGAAACAGAAGAGTAACTTGGTCCAGGATGACGGGATAAAAAGATCAGAAGCTTTATGATGTGTTTTGAAAGTAGAACCAACAGGATTTGCTAATGACTGGATGGGATGAGAGAAAGGGTCAAGTCTTGGACCTGAGCAAATGAGAGGGTGGAACTGCTGCTTGCTGATCAGGAAAACCTGGAGTGGAGGAAGGTCTGCAGTGTGGGTCTGAATGTTCTCAGAGTGTGGACTGCCCTTTAGGGGTCCAAGTGCAGTAGTCCAGGAGGCAGCTGGCAAGAAGAGGTGGAGCTCAGGGGAGAGGTCAGGGTGGTCAGCTTCAGGAGTCATGCAGAGATGGCATTGATGGATGAGATCATCAAAGGCATAAGCAAGGAGCAGCTGATTAGACCTGAACCCAGGACACTGCAGAATATGGGCCCCTGAAGTTGAAGAAGACCAGAAAAGAGACAAAAAGAAGTAGCAGGAAGGAGGGAGAGATTAAGAGAAGCCAGTGCCAGGCCACATGGTAAATGGAGGAGGAATGTCCAGCTGGGGCAGTGCTGTGAGTCAGGGAAAGGGAGGCCCAGCTGACTGACTTCACAGCATAGGCCCTGGGAGCCTCCCAGTGTGGTCTCCGTGAAGTGGCAAAAATCTAATCAGAAAAGGTTCAAGAGTGAACAAGAAGACCGGAACTGGAGCTGAAAAATGAAACAATAGAAAGAACTATGGGTCATGGTGTGGGACAGTATTTTCTTTAATGGATCACCTTACAGTTTACAGTTTGAATGCTGAGAGTAGGAGTCAGTGGGGAGGGGCAATGAGGAAGAAAGGGACCATTGTGTGGGGTGAGGTCCTTGAGCAGGAAGGAGGGAACAGGATCTAGTGCTTCCTAATCTGAGTGTGTCCATCTGAAAGACAGTCTTGTCAAATGCAGATTCTGATTTGAGGGCCTTGAGTGTCCGGATTTCCAGCAAATTCCCATGCTACTACTGCTGTTGCTCCAAAGACCACACTTTGAGTAGTTCTGAGTGCATGGAGGGAAAAGTTTGTTAGCATTGATAGTTCCCACCCTAAGTTGCAAGAGGAAAAGCAGAATGGAAAAGCATGGAGGAAGGGCTGGGGAGATGATGTGCTAGGAGAAATAGAGGTCTCTTCTGATTGCTTCCATTTTCTCTGATCAGCTGGGAGTGGAGAGGTTTGAGGAGATAGAAAGAAGTGTGAAAAATCAGGAGAGCAGAGGTCTGAACAGAAGTTCTCAAACTTACATGGGAGGCTTGTTGAGCACCCGTGGCCAGGCAGCCCTGGAGGCTGAGTCAGCAGGTCTGAGGTGTGTGGGGTGGAGTCTGGGAATTTGCATTTCTTCCTTCTTCTTCCTCTTCCTCCTCCTTCTCCTTCTTCAACTTTACTGAAGCATAATTAATATACAAAAATCTGCTTATACTCAATGTGTACAGATTGATGAGTTTAGACATGTACATACCCCATGAAACCAGTCAATGGTAATAAGCCTCTAAGTGTTTCTCCATGCCCCTTTGTTTCTTGATTTGTTTGTTTGTTTGTTTTTTTAAGACAGAGAGAGAGAGAGAGAGAATTTTTAAATATTTATTTTTTAGTTTTCGGCGGACACATCTTTGTTTGTATGTGGTGCTGAGGATCGAACCCGGGCCGCACGCATGCCAGGGGAGCGAGCTACCGCTTGAGCCACATCCCCAGCCCATGTTTGTTTTGTTTTGGTGTGTGTGTGTGTGTGTGTGTGTGTTATGGCCATTTAACATCAGACCTATCCTTTTTACACATTGTTAGGTGCATTGTTAGTATTATTAACTGTGGGCTCTCTGTTGTACACAGATCTCTAGAACTTATTCATCTTCTATAACTAAAACTGTCCCCATTAAATGGCACCCTGCTCTCCCCTAGGAATTTGTATTTCCCTCAAGTACCTTCAAGTTCTGGATGCTGGTGTGGGTGCTGGCAACCCACATTTTGAGAACTACCAGAACGGGAAATGCAGCTGGCTCTCGAGGCAGCCCAGCAGTCAGCTGAAGTCCATTGTCCTGTGTTCTCTACCAGGGTCAGCTGCTCAGGTACAAAGGAGGTGGGAAGTTAGATTTCTTCAAGATGGGGGACAAACAATCCTTTGTTTGGCACCATGTCTAGGATATATTATATGCTTAAAATTTTTCATTGTTATTATCTAGCCACCAGCTCTTCCTTACAACCCCACCTCCCAACCCACACACAGCAATTCTCCTATCTAACTGTACAGCATGGTGGTTGAGAGCCCAGGCTCTGGGCCTGGCAGGCCTGAATCCAGCTGTATGTCCTTGGGCTGATTTCTTAATGTCTCTATGTTTTAGTTTCTTCATCTGAAAATGAGATAAGTACTCTTCCTTCACAGAGTTATTGGGATCATTAAAAAAAAAAAAATGCATCTAAATCACTTAGCATGGGGTGGCATACAGTAAACAGCAAATTCTGAGGATCCTTAAAGACCAGAGGAATGGAAAGCATTCACTGAAAATTAACTCTTTGCACAATCTCTGACCATCCAAACCAGCAGAGCCTCTTCTTGATTTGCAACTAGAATTATTTTCTCCTACCCTCTTCTTTCTTGATACTTCCTACCAATTATCACATGGTTTACTTAGGATAGAACTATTTATATATGTGGAAGTCAAGACCACTAAGTCTTGCACCCCTGAAGGGCAGTAATTATTTCTTAACTCATAAACTCTGGAAGACTTGTGCACAGTGCCTACACATATTATACTTTAAAGGCATTATCTGTGCACTTGAATAAGGTTATATATGGTGTAACACTGGAGCATCTCAAAGTAATTCTTGCTCATAGGGAAAAATAATTATTAACTGTGGGCTCTCTGTTGTACAAATGAAACAGTACAAATGAAACCAATCTATTCCAAATAGGGACATAATACATACTCTTGCAACTTTTTAAATTAGGGCCTCTTGGACATTGTTTCTTCTTAGTTCTTAAAGATTTACCTCATTCTTTTTCACATTGCATTGTATTGTATTCTTTTAAACATTCCATCGTTCAGATGTACCACAATTTGTCTAAGCTGTTTCCTACTTATGGACATCTAGAATGTTCTGGGGTTGTTAAAATTGTTGTTATAAACAATGCTGCAATGAGTACTTCTTTGTGAATGACTGAAAGATAAATTTCTAGGAAGTTAAATTCCTAGAAGTGGATCAGAGGATCTATGCATTTTTTATGTTGATAACTGTATCAATTATAGTTCAGTTAGCTGAGAAGAGTTATGTTCCACCCAGCTTAAGGGGAGTTTTGTTACAGGCTACTGGATGAAATGAAGAGTCATTGGGAAGGCTCAAGAACAAATCTACATTGAATATTCAGAGATGACTTCAAGAGCCACACTTGCAGGCCTGAGCTTCAAAAAGAGCTATTACCTTTTCAATCAGGAAAGTCATTGCCAAACTGGGAAGCTGCTGTCTTGACTTCCATAAACTCCAAAAGCATGCTGCCTCTGCTAGTTAGGAAGCCAAAACAATCGGGGGGTCACTTTCCTGACAGTGTTTGTTGGCTCAAGCAGCAAAGTATGGTTTCCTCTTCTGCCTTCCAGAGCTCAAGTAACCAGCAGAATGCAACTCATATCCAGAAATCTAGCTCTCTAGAGAGCCAGGGGAATGTAGCTGGTAATCTTCCTGCTTCTGCACGTGAGAAATCATGTAAGACAGGCAAGATTGGACTGCATCTCCAGTGCCACGCACTCGCACTCTACCAACTACTTCCAGTACTTCTTCCCAAAAGTGCTTGATTCCTCCACGCCATCATCAAAATTAATGTCTCCTAACTTGCTATAATATCTCAGTGTTTGAGTTTTACATTTCTTTGTTTATAAATCAGATTGAAGATCTTCAATTTGTTTATTGGCCATTATAGTTCATTTTCCTATTTTTATCTCTATCAGTATTAGTAAGTAACAACCCCCACCCCCCGCTGCAACCCAGTAGATTAAAACAGTCTACAGGTCCATAGTCCACAACCCCATCTGGGTTGTTTTGCTGAGCCTAGGCTCAGTTGATCTCATCTGGGCTCAGCATCTTCCGTCAGCTGATGAGTCACTAAAGCTGCTGGTGTGGGATGGCATTGGCTGGTCTATGTTGGCTCTTCTCCCCAGGACTCTCTTCCATCAGGCCAGCCCACACTGATGTTCATGAGAGTGGCACAGATTCAAGAGAAAGAGGGAGAAGAGACCCAAATGCTTTTCCTAGTGTCTGCTCTGTGCAGATGTTCCTATCCCATTGGCTACAGCAAGTCACTGGGTCTCGCCCAGGACAGAGTAGGAAGGAGGAAACATCCTAAAGGCCTGGATATAGAGAAGCCTTTGACAGAGACCATTAAAGAAATCAGTTCTTGCATTATCTTTTGACCATTGTTTTATCTGTCTTGTTAACTTGTAAGATCCTTTCTGTATTTAATTAGCTCTCCACATAATTTTAAATAGTGACAATAAAACTTTGGGTATACAGTTATAAGTGGAAAAAATAGACTACAGTATAGCAGAAGTAATTTATATATCTCTTTTAAAAAAGAAAAAGGAAAGGGGAAAAAAAAAAAAAAAAAAAACTCAAGCCAGGCATAGTGGTGCATGCCTGTAATCACAGAGGCTCAGGAGGCTGAGGCAGGAGGATCATGAGTTCAAAGCCTGCCTCTGCAACTTTGAAAGGCCCTAAGCAATTTAGGGAGAACCTGTCTCAAAATAAAAAAATAAATAAAAAGGGCTGGGGATGTGGCTCACTGGTTAAGTGCCCCTATGTTCAATACCTGAGGGGGGTGGGGCGGGAAACTCAAATAAACCAGCGGATATACAGAGGTAACTAAAATTCCCGGAGCAGGATGGCATAGACTCCTCAGATGGGTGGAGTATTCCTGTTT